CAAATGAAGAGCCCCAAACGGAAGCCGAAGATGGCCAGCGGCAAGGAATGTGTGGTCGTGAAGTAAAGTAATGTAATTGTATACATGCCCGCGCGTTTATGCCGCCACTACTTTGTTTTTTTTTGTTTTGTTTTTGTTTTTCTTTGTTTTTCTGACAAAGACGGCAATGTATAATTATATATAATGTAATTCTATCCCCCTTTCTTGCCCATCCCTGATTTCTGCCTGCGCAGGCACGTCTACGCACACGGCCGTTGCGTGCCCCCCCCCCTACTCGCATACGTCTTGCACGTTTCCCGCGCTACTCGCCCTTCTGCCGCCACCGAGAACGACACCCGCGGCGGCAGTAGCAAAGTGCGTGGAGGAGGAGGAACGGGAGAATGAGTCAGCGAGGGAAAGGAAAGTGTGCGTCCATTAGACAAACGCCGATAAGGGAATACAAAAAGCAAAGGAAGTAGAAATAAAGCGGGATGCTACCGAAAAGGGAAAATATTCTCCTGTAACTATTGTTTGTAATTATTTTCATCCCTCCCTTCCTGGTCGCCTTCTTGAAGCATGGGCGCTGTGCCTGCTCCTCCCATTCTGCGCCCTTCGTGAGAATTTTTTTTTTCCCCCCCCCGCCTTACGTCCTTGTCTCTACTTTTTCCCTTTTCCTTCTTCTTCTACCTCTGCAGCGAATAGAATGTCTTGAGCCTGATATTAGTGTTGTTTGCGCCCAGTGTTGGGCGGATTTCGACGCTGCCGAATAAACGCGTTAGGGCCTTGCACCAGTAAGGCGACCCACATCCTCGGTCGCTAGCGTGTCAGCAACCACACATTTGCCAAGGCCGGCGTTGCATTGTAACGTGGGCTGGGCGTGGCTAGGCTGGACTGCAACGAAGCAGAGTGGAAGAAGGAGTCTGCGCGCCGTCGCCTGGGCGGAGTTGAGTGTGTGCGCGCTGGCAATGCGTTGGGGTGTGGTTGCCTGTGTCGAGCGAATACGATCGTTGGGCAGGTGCGTATTATGGATTCACACGTGTTCTTCACGGCTCCCCTTTTGTCCCATTGTTTTCTTCTCCGCCGCCCGCCCCCCTACTTCCTCCCAACGCACTTGTCCTCCTGTGTACTATTGGCCTGTGCGCAGATGCCGAACTCTGTCGCACAATCTCACCACGGACATTAAACCTCTACCTTGGCATTACGTAGGGCCTTACGAAGGGCATCAGCAACAACGTATTGTCATCCTCCCCTGCGTGCGTGTTTGTTTTTTTTTCTCCTCTTAAATTTTTCGCCCTGAGCGTAGTCGCATGACGGATCCGCTCCGTGTGACGGTCGAGTGCTGGGAGAACCAGCGGTACCACCCAATGAAGGGGTGGGGGTTTCATCGCCTGCCAATGGACCGCAGCACGTGGTCGAACAAGAAGGGGGACACGGTGCTTTGCCGCGACAGCTTTCTCACCCCCATTGGATGGGTGTGGTCGTCCGAGTGGGAGGTGGCACCGAACGGAAGTGAGCGCGACGGCTGGTTTTACGCAGCGGATTTTAGCATCTCGACGCGCTTCTGCAGCGCCGTGCCTAACGCAGTGAGCTACGTACGGCGACGGCGCTGGGTTCGCACGCGGGTGCAGCTCACAGCTGATACGGGCGTTGATTCTGCTCTGTTGGATGCCTTGAGCCGTTCGTCCTATTTTCGGGCCGATCCACGCATAGTGTGGCTTAGCACCTCCTTCTACGGCTTCTTTGGTGCCTCTGTGAAGGAGCAGCGGGAGAATCAAGACCGTCAGCATCTCAGTTGCTATCGTTTGCATCGGTTTCTTGATGTGTCGTGCTGCTACGAGGCAAACGCCGATGAAGAGGACGCGGGCGAGGAGGAGGGAGTCGGGTGCGGCGTCCCTTCCCACACTCGTCACCCTTCTGTCACGCCAGCCGTGCTGCGCTGCGTCTACCGCTACGGCCTGCCGCAGTGTCTTCGCCCCGCACTATGGCTTGAGTGGTCGGGAGGCTCAAATCTGCAGCGTGCATCGCCGCATTTGTACGATGAACTTTTTGGGCGCTTCGACCGTGTGGGTGGACAACCGTTGCAGGATATCTTGCAGGACGTCGTGCGAACCGCCCCCCGACACCCTTTTTTTGCGAAAAAGGGAGGCGGCGCGGAGGAGTTGCGCAATGTGCTGTTTGCACTAGAGCTGGCCTGCGTGCTACCGTCGTATCATCAGGCATTTAGTTATATTGTGGCAACGGTTCTCTTGAACCTGCCGGCGCGGGAGGCATTTTGGGTAGTTACAGCTCTTTTTGTTAGTTTTTTGCCGCCCGGCTACCACGAGCAGTACGCCTTGCAGTACGACCTGCAGTTGTACGACGAGATTGTGATGCAGCGATTCCCAGACCTCCATGCCCACTTTGCAGTGAATCGAATCGATGTCTCAGTGTTTGCAAGCGGCTGGCTGCAGGGTCTATTCTGCGCCCACTTTCCCTTCTGCACTGCAGCTCGCGTTCTCGATGTCCTTTTTGCCGAGGGCGACAGCAGCGCGCTGGTGCGTTTCCTCGTTGCCTTTACCGGCAAGTTCCGCTCGGAGCTGTTGCGGATGGACAGCAGCGGGTCAGTGGGCTACTTCGCAAACGAGTGGGCCCGCAGCTGCTTTAACGTTGAAGATGTTGTGCATGCGATGGAGAAGGACGGCCTGACGCCGTTTGTTCTCTCGCGCAGGGAGGCCATCAAGAGTCGAGCGGTGGCAGCCGTCTAGTCATCGGCAGAGGTGCCCCGCCGCCACCGCCGCTGCTGCTGCTGCTCTTGCTCCTTTTTTCTGCCGCTGATGACGGTGCGGTTTTGTTGCCGCCTCTTTTCCCTCGCGTTTTGACCCGTGGAGGACGCTGGCAGGATCCACTGCGCTCCTCCCTCCGCTTGTTAAGTTTGCGGCGGCAGCTTTGCTTTGCGCCCCACACGAGCGTCCACACACGTGAGGGGGGCATAAACGCACACACGCAAAAGGAAAACAACGGCCGGAAAAGGGGGGGGGGGGAAAGAAAGAGGCAACAGCGATGACGAGAAACAGAGAGAAATTTTGTCGCCATGCGGCGATGACTGGAGCGGAGGTTTTTTTTTTTTGCCTCATCCTAATTTTTCTGGGTGCTTGACCTCCGCTTTGTTTTCCTTTTTGCGCTCATTCAAAATTACCCACAATCACACACACACACATGTATAAAGTACGGCTTAGTGGCGCTCAGGGCGATGTGGGCGGGGGCGCTTAAGGCGTACAAAGATCTGCGTACCATGCAGCGTTGGACGGGCCCGCCCAGCAGTGTGGCGCATGCCGGCGTTGCAAAGGCGGAGCCCCCCTTCGGGGGAGAAGAGGAGGCTGCGGGCGGTGCAACGGCACATCTTGCACCCCCCGCACACGTGCGCTTTGGGTGTGAGGGAGGGGCGGTGAAGCGGGCACGGGGGGAGCTGAACGAGGGAGACGGCGGCGCTCACGATAGTCCCTCGACTCCGCTGCGGGTGGGGTCTGGGAGCAGCGCAGCGGGGACGGAAGAGCGATCGGTGGTAATAGAAAAAACAGAGGAGGGTGATGCGGCCCACGCCTCCGTGGAAGCGGTGTCGCCTTCTAACGCGCCTGTCGAGCGCGAGGTGATAGTGTTGGACGACAACAGCGAAAGCGATGGAGCGGGCAATCTGCCGTCGTCTAAAACGCCCACATCGGCGTCACATTCGGCGAAGCTGGAATCGCTACTCAACTCCGAGACATCTGCGCTTGTTTCCCCAACACCGAGTGGGCCTTCACCACCGTCGATGAGCTTGTCCACGGAGCAGCAGCGCGTCTTTGATCTCGTTGTAAAGTATGGCCGATCGGTGTTTCTTACTGGAGGTGCGGGTACGGGCAAGTCGCATTTGCTCCGAGCCATTATTGAGGCATTACCGCGTGCTTCGACCTTTGTGACCGCCACCACTGGAATCGCGGCACTCAACCTCGGGGGATCTACGCTTCACAGCTTTGCTGGTTGCGGCATTGTGGACGCGCAGACGCACGTTGCTGAGGAAGTGTGTCACACGGTGCGTAGCAAAACAAAGGCAAAGCGAAACTGGCGTTTCTGTAAGGTGCTGGTGGTGGACGAGGTGTCCATGATGGACGCGTGGTTCTTTGACGTCCTTGAGTACGTGGCAAGAAAGATTCGCGGCTGTGCTTCGCCGTTTGGTGGGATTCAACTCGTTTTGGCCGGTGATTTTCTGCAGCTTCCGCCCGTGGTGAGGCAGCGGGGGCAGGAGTCACGGTTTTGTTTTGAGTCCGAGGCGTGGTGTCGGGTAAACCCGCGCGTTTGCATTCTATCGCAGCGGTTTCGTCAAACTGACGAGACGTTCTTTGGCATGTTAAACGAACTTCGCCGTGGGGTGCTCACGGCGCCCTCCCTCGCGTTGCTGGCATCCCTCTCCTCTACGACTACCGTGCGGTTTGTGCAGGCGCAGGCGATGGCGACGGAGGGTGCTGACGCTGGCACGCTGGGGAGGCCGACGCGGCTGTTGACTGCCGGCGACGTGGTGGATAGCCGTGGCCGCACACGAGAAGAGCGCCACGACGGCTTCAGTATTCTTCGCGCCCGCCGCGCGGAGGTGGAGAGCGTGAACGCTGAACGATTTGGCGAACTAACGACCGAAATTTTTTCCTACCAGGGGTTTCACCGGGGCGAAGGAAAATACCCGGCAGACCTCCCAGCTGTGGTTTCCGTGCGGGTTGGTTGCCGCGTGATGCTGCTTAAAAACCTTGACGTCTCTGTGGGACTTGTGAATGGCAGCGTCGGCACCGTTGAGAATTTCATCGACGCCAAAAAGATGCGTGATTTTGCGAACAAAACAGCACTTGGCGATCTCCGGAATATGGCGCCGCACACATTTCTGCCCGTGGTGCGGTTTGAAACGGGCCAAGGTAACGGCGGCAAGGACGGCGCCTGCGGGCGTCTCGTGGTAGTGGAGCCTCACCGCTGGACTGTGCTTCAGGGCGACAGGGAGGTGAGCTACAGTGCACAAATTCCTCTGCAACTTGCGTATGCGATTACGATACACAAGTCGCAGGGAATGTCCCTTGCACGCGTTAATGTTGACTTTAAGGGTATCTTCGAGGAGGGACAGGCGTACGTGGCGCTTTCCCGCTGCACGGACATGAAGGGTCTTATCGTTGAGAACTTTGACGCCCACCGAGTGAACCCCAACGCCAAGGCTTTGGCCTACTACAAGGCACTGGCAGAGGCGGCGGAAGAGGCGGAAAGGGTGGAGCAGGAAACGTTGCACGCCCGTGTCCGCTACCCCTGGGGATACAGCCTCATCGAAGGTGCCGAAGACGAAGAGGATGGCCAGCCGCATGGAAATAACCTTTTTACCACTAATAATAAGAGGACTGTGGCAGATGCTGTGGAAGAAATTCGGAGGCGCATCACACCATCGTACCTGTTATGGTCCTCACTGCGACAGCGTGTTTTGTGCACAGTTGAACTGGCCGCGGCTGTGCATGGAGCACTACTTGTCATGGACGCGTCCTCCTTACTTGCCCTGGGGAGCTCTCCCGATTCCGCGGCACTGTACGAGAAGGTGTTCGTCAATAACCAAAACATGATGCGGGTGCCGCGTTTGGTGAAGGAGGAACTGCTGCGCGCAGCCTCTGTTGATGAGGTTGAGGTGCGTGTGACGCCGACAGTCTGCCTCAGCTTCAACAGTCGACGCTCGAGCTCGCCTGGAGCTAGCGGCGTCCACGAGGCGGCAGAGTTGGCAGCAGGCACGCTGTGTATCATGGAGGACGCCAAAAGTGACTTTGTGCTGGACGAACAACGTGACGGAGAGTCGAGACCGCTGCCGCCTTCGCTGCCGGGGTGGGAAGAAAATTTCTCTCCCAATGCTTCGGCAGCCGGCGAATGGGAGGACGCATGTGCGGGGACTCCGCGCCCTCAGCAGCAGCAGGTTCGTTTGCTGGAGTTTGCATGCTACCTCGTCGAGCAGTATAGCCCTCACCAAGCAGTGCTGGTTTGCACGGAGTCGGTCGAGCTGGCGGCGCGTGCGCTTGCGGTTGGTTTGCGCGTGTGTTCTATGATGTACCTGCGTCCAGCAGGCCGGGCATAAGTTGTGGCGTAGAGAGTGAGTGCGTGAGTGAGTGAGAGACACGATAAGGAAGAAGCAGGGGTGGCTGCGTGGAGGTAGACAGCAAGTAGTGGTTCTTGTCCCTCGCATCAACCGGGGTTGGGCCGCATTTTTTTTTGTTTTTGTTTTTTTGTTTCTTCTTCTGCTCGTTGCCCACTCCACAGCGTGTGACGCCGCGTCTCCCACGCCTCCCTCTTCACCACAGCCGTTATTGTCATTTCCCTCTTTTTTCTTTCTTCTCTCTCTCTCTTGGGGTTCCTGCTTTTTCCCGCCCATTTGTGCGTGCGTGTGTTTTTTTTTCTGCGTGACTAGAAGCGGCAGCTCCAACGATTGCCCCGGGGGGCTGCAGCAAGAGCAAAGCAACACATCACACACGTGTCTCAGTTGCGGGGAGCAGCGATGGCGGACGCCGGCAAGCTGCGGGCGGCCCACCTGCTCGTCAAGTTCAGTGGGAGCCGCAACCCTGTTTCCCGCAGGACTGGGAAGAGCACCGCGGACGTCTCGTACGACGCGGCGCTTGCCGAGCTGCAGCAGTGGGCAAAGAAGATATCCGATGGCCAGCTGACATTTGAGGATGCGGCACGCCAGCGCAGTGACTGCGGCAGCTACAGCAGCGGCGGTGACTTGGGCTACTTCGGCCCCGGCGAGATGATGAAGCCCTTCGAGGACGCCGTTCGTTCGTTGAGGGTCGGCGAGGTTAGTGGGGCCGTGCAGACAGACAGCGGCCTCCACATTATCAAACGACTGGCGTAGGAATATTATTGTCACGGCTATTTATTTGTTTCTTTGGATGCCTCAACCGCAAAGGAAGGAGTTGGGGAAAAAATAGTTTGAAATGAAAAGAAAGATGTATATGTTTGTTTTTTGTATGCTGCGCACATGTGCGTGCGTGTGTGTTTGGGGGGGGGGGGCTCAAAGAGGGCCTGGGGGAAAATTAATTGGCTCCGCGCAACACGCACATGCGGCGTTAGTGTACTGCGCCACACATTCAGACATCGCCCACTTCCTTTACCCTCCGCTGCCGCTGCTGCCGTGCCTGCGGTTGCATGCCTCTCTCTCTCTTTGTGTGTGTGCGTCTCCCCGGTCTCTCTGCGTGTGTCCCTTGGCGAGGGGCGAGGCGGGTATGTGACTTCTTCGACGTCTTGTTTGCTTTTGACGATGCAGGAAGTTCCGCGCGCCCAAAGGCGGGGAGGAGCAATACATACACACCAACACCGCTGCCGCTGCTACTACGGGCCGCACTTGCGTTCGTGCTCCGGAAGAAGAAGGAGGCGAGGAGGTGCGTTGGCGGAGGCAGACAAGGAGGAAAGGGAGGAGGAGGAAAAAAAACAAAGGAAAACAAACACGCAAGAAGACGACGGTGCATGGCGCACGCCGCGACTGCCGAGGATGAGATCGCCGCCATTTGCCGTGAGCTGGACACCCTCAAGCTGCAGCTGACCACCGCTTCGCCCGATTCATCGGCCAGTTCGTTTGATGGGACGGCAGCCGCGCCGCACGGCGGCGACGATGAGACGGGCCTCCGGCCTTCTATGGAACAGCTGCTTGGGCGGCTGGCGCAGGAGCAAGCGAGACGGAGGCAACTCGAGGAGGAGCTTCACGCCCTGCGCATGAGTCAGAAGCAAATGACCACCGAATCGCTGGAGGAAATAAGTGCGAAGAGGGAGGAGCTCAGCCAACTAACACGTGAGCGGGATGAAATGCGGGACTGGCTGCAACGAGGCGTGAATGAGTGTCGTCGCGTGGCAGACGAGGCGATACGGCTAAAAAGAGTCCTTGACGAGCGCACGCAGCGCTGTCAGCTCCTTGAGACCGCGAAGGAGGAGTTGCAGGAAAAGATCGACACAGTGCAGCGGCAGTTAGCGGACTCGCAGTCGCAGCTTGAAGGTCTGCAGAAGAAGGAGTGCCTGCTAGAGGCCTGCGAGGGGCAACGCGCTCGCTCTGAGCAGAATATCGTGGAGCTGAACGAGAAGAGGCAAAAAGAGTATGATGCGCTCGTGGACGAGGCGGAGTCCCGCCGCCTCCGCGCTGAGGAGCTTGAGAGTGCAGAAACGTGCGTCCAGCTTCTGACTGAGCGGCTGCAGCAGCTGCTGACGCACATGGAGCGCTTGGGACAGGCCGTACGTAAAGGGTGTGTGGAGGAGGTGCCGGCGGACGAATTCTTCCTGCGCGAGGGCGTTGCGGAGCCGCAGCACCCGCTGGATGAACTAGTTGCGCGTGCCCAGGCTTTCCCCCGCATCATTGCGGCTGCCATTCAGCAGCTCCATGCGGACATCGTCGCGTTTATGGCGGAGCAGCGCTGCCTGCAGGCGGAGCAGGCAGCGAAGCAGCGGGAGCACCTCGAGGCGCTCCACCTGGAGAAACAGACGCTGCTCCACAAGTACGAGAGGGAGCGGGAGACACTGACGCAGGAGATTGCACAACTCAGAACAGAACTGCTTCGAGTGGTCGCAAAGAGCCCAGAGGATAGTGACGACACTTCGAACCGGCAGAAGGAGCGCATCGCCGAGCTGGAGCAGCTGCTGTGGTCGAACGACCAGCAGGCGGCGGAGAACGAGAGGCTGCGCGGGGAGAACGACGAACTTCGGGGAAAGTTGCGCGCTCTGAAAATCGATTGGAAAAAAGTCCACGAGAGTCAGTTGCGCTTCCAGGAGCTTCAGGTGGAGGTGGACATGATCGCGCGGACGAATGCGCGGATACAGAAGGAAAACGAGAGCCTGAAGATGACCATTGAGACCCGCTTTGGTCAGCTCCCCGCCGGCACGCAACCAGAGCAGGAACCCCACTCTGAACAGCTCTATCCAGGCGCGAGCGGGAGGGCGCGGGGGGCGGCGCTGACGCCTCCTGGCATCTCCAGCATCATGATGAACGACACGGACGGCAGACGCGGGGCGAGTGCGAGTCCCTCAGCGTCGTGCGATCACGCATGTCGTAGTGCAGAGCGTGAGGCGTTTCAGGGGTGGAAGCGCATGGTGATCAGCGGCTACCTCGAGTAGAGCCATTTTTATCGTTCATTTTTGTTTCTTTCTCCTTTTTTTTTGTTGTTGTTGTTGCATTTTTTTTTTGCGTCTTTCGCTTGCCTGCCGAGTGGCGGCGTCATTGTCTGCCTGCAGTTCTAATGCTGCATGCGGCTTGTGTTGCGCAGTGAGAAGCGCTGAGTATTTAGGCTACGTTTCCGGGCGCAGCAGCAGTTGTCTTTTTTTTTTGTTCAGGTGGCGCCTCTGGCGGATGCATCTGGCACTTTCCCCCCGTGCTTCCTGCTGTGGCTTCAGCGCACGGCTCTGTGGCTCTTTCCCTTTGGCTTTTTGGCTTGCCTGAGAGGAAGAGGCCGGCGTGGTCGTCTTAGGGGAGTTGCGGCAATGCTTACCTCAACGTTGCGGTCTCTGGTCCCACGACCGCTGAACCGCGTGACGCTGATTGGCGCCTTGCATGACGTGCATATGGGATTTCTGGACGGATCGAGTGTCTTTCACTTCACGCTAACGTGTTCGCTGCTTGAGCTCCAGAAGGGGGGTGATGGGGCGGCCACCAAAAGCACCGCGACGCCTGCGCCGCCACCAGGGGCAGGGGCAGGGGCACGCAGCTCGTGAAGGAGCACTACACCGTCCGCTGCTTGGGTGATGAGGCGTACACGGAGGCCCTAAAGAGCAGACTGGAGGAGGGCTCTGTGGTGCGGGTGATTGGGCGGCTTAAGACGTTTGAGGTTGCGGAGGGTGGGAAAAAGCAGTTCTTTCCAACCATTCTTGTAGAACAGGGTCGGTGGAGCAGTGTGGCGCTGCTGCACTCCCCGCGAAGACAGCAGCGTGACTGGCAGCTCCAGGCCGCTCTCACGGAGACTTTGTACCCAAAGTAGCCGTGGACACTTACCCTTGCGCTTTTTTTTATTAATTATTCTGCATCTTCACATAAGGGCCACCAAAGCCTACGCACACTTGGCGGTCGGCCCTCTTTCTCGTCCTTGCTGTTGTTAGTGCAGTGTGTGTGTGTGTGAGAGAGAGAGTGTGTACGAGGGAGACAGAGAGAGAGAGAGAGAAAGTTTGTCTTGTGCTACCACCGGTGGAAAGTTGTTCGTGTTTTGCGTTCTTTTTTTTTTGTTCCGCCGCCCCTTTACCGGCAACTTCACTCGTACCCTCTTTCCCCGCTCCCCGTCTCTCCCCCCCCCCTCGCTTTCTTTCTCCTTTGGGCTTTGCAGTCCATCCTCTTCTCAGCAGTCTGTGAGATTCGAGGGGCTAATAAGCCAAAGTAAGAAGAAAAGAGAAACTACAAGGCAAAACAAAAAAAAGACCAAAGAAGGCGTCAAGAGCAACAAAAGAGGACGCATGTCGCTGATTGTGGCTGGGGCCACAGGCGCCATTGGTCGATGTGTTGTGCGAGAGGCGCTCAAGCATGGCGAGATTGCGCGCGTCGTTGCCCTGACGCGGTCGTCGTCTCTCTCTGACCCCGCCGCTCTGTTTGGCCTCACCGTCGCCACGGGCGCCTCGGAGGCAAGCAGCCCGGACACGGTAACGAAGGAGCAGCTGGCGCGGCTGCTGCCTGTGACGATCGACTGGGAAGAGTTCCTGCGCTTCTGGCAGAATCGAAAGCCGCGACAGGCAGGCGGCACGGCAAACGCCTCGACACGTCTGGACTCCAGTGGGGATGCCGAGGCGGCGCACTACAAGGAGCTCTTTGGCGGGCACAAGTACGCTGCGATGTGCCTTGGCACCACACGCCGCGATGCGGGGAGCGGTGCAGCCTTCGAGCGGTGCGATTACGACTACGTTGTTGCCTTCGCTGAGGCGTTGCGTGAATATAGTGGCCCAACCCTCGTCACCTATGCGCAGGTGAGTGCGCAGTTTGCCAATAAGAATTCTTGGCTACTTTACAGCAAAGTAAAGGGCCGCGCCGATGCCGCCGTGGAGGCGCTGCGGTTTCCGCGCCTGAGCCTGTACCGCCCCGGGCTGCTGGACCGCGGCCCAAAGACACGCCTCAATGAGAAGATTGCGAAGTGGTTTTTTGCTGGCATGCCCGTCGAGACCTGTGGCCGGGCCATCGTGAGTGACTTTCTGCACAGCAGCGACGAGGCGTCATTGCGGTCACGCCAATGCGCCGGCAAAAGAAGCAGCGCAATGGCGTTGGATAAGAAAGAGAGCGATGCGGAGGTCTTCATCTTCGCAAACGACAGCATCAAAAAAGAGGCCACGTACCTCAAGTGACTCTTTGCGGCCTCTGCACATGTGAGCGTCTGGGACGATGTGTGTATGACTGGCGTCTCATTGGTTTTTATCTTCTTTTCCCGTTTGCATGTTTACACGTGTGTCTGTTTTCTTCTTTTTGATCTCCCTCTTTCTGTTTCGTTCTGCGCATCCCACGCCTTTTGTTTGTTTGCGTTTACTTTCGGATCCCCAACACAACGAGAGCGCCTCCGAAGTGAAGCTGCCGCCTCCCCCTCAGCGACACCCCTTTCTGTTCTCCCTCCCTTTCTCTCTCTCCCTCGCGGTGAAACCTGTTCCTCCTCTTCCCGTTTCTTTGCCGCCCCACGCTAGAGGCTTCACTTCCTCGCGGTGGCGTGCCTGCTTGTGGGCCTCCGCAAACCACGCGGCCGCTTGTAGACTCCACACCGGTAGCGATTAGAAATTTTGCTGTGCGAGGCTGTTTACCTGGCTCACCCCGCAACCGAGTGAGGCGGTTTTCCATCACCCCCCTCCCCCCCAGCAGCAGCGACAGCGACGGGCCCGACGCGTTCCTGAGACGTGGGAAACGTTTATATTTGGAAACCACAACGAGGACTTTTGGGTGGGATATATATATATATATATATCCTCTCCCTCCCGGCCTCTTTTTTTCTTCCGTTCTTTGGGCGACTTGCGTTTGTGGCTCTTTTGCCAGCCTGCCTCTCATTTGCGGCGGGTGGGGGTGGGGTGAGCACGGCCGTGGCTGTAGTGCGTGCCGATGGACTTCTTCACCATGCTAAACCAACGGCAGCTGGACCAGAATAGCGAGATCCGCAGACTGTACCGCGTCTCGGTGTGCTACGCGGCGGCGGCGCTCGTGGCCCTGCTTTTAGCATCGGTGACACTTTCCGCGGACGCCTCGCCCGAGGCGCGAAAAAGCGGTTTCTGGTCCGCTCTCTCTTTGCTGGTCTTTTTAAGCCTCATCGTCTTGGCCTACGCCATGATGGTGCGGGCACTCAATGTTCTTAGTACCAACCGCTTCATCCTTCCCTCCGCCTATGCCTCGCCTCGCCCCATCCCCTCGACCCTTTTCATCTCATTGCCCCATGAGGTTTTCACATGTAGACAACGCGTCTTGCTCACGTACGCGCCACTGCTCCTCACTCTTCTCTGCCTCTATGCTGGGATCGTCGCAAGTTCCTACAGAGTCTATTTGTGCTTCCTGCTGTTGCTCGTAGTGGCGTTCTGCCTCTTGTGGAGTATTTTGCGCCGCATGATGAACTCTGCACGATGATAGAGTGGCGCGTTTTTGTTTTCTTCCTTGGGGGATGTGTGCCTCTCTCGTAATCCGATTCCGGGTTAAGAGGGAGGGGCGGGTCGGGAGGAGGAGTCAGAGAGGGGGCGAGAGGCTGCAGTTCGTGAGTCGCTGCGTGCGTGAGTGGCGGTATGAGTGGTGCGGCTCAGAATATTTACGGTGGCTGTGCAAACGCGAGGGAAGCGCAAAGATATGCTGCTGCAGCTTTGAATATTGGCCGTGTGAAAGGGGTTCGCTGCGCTTTGCCCTATGTTGTTGTTGCTTTTCTGGCTTTGCGGCGCCGCCGCCACCCTTCTTCGCGGTGTGCGAGGAGGCGCGTTCACTTCTGGATTTTTTTTTTTGCCTCTGCACGCGTCTTCTCCCTCTTCTTCTTTGCTGCCGGAGAGAGCCGCAGTTGGCGGGGAGCGGGCGCGCCATCGCTGGGTGAAACTTGGCTCGCGCGTTGGCAGCGAATGGCTCAGCCAACCGCCTCCATGAGGCAGCGTGCGGCAGCGGCGCAAAGCACTCCAAAGTTTAGCGTGGAGAAACCGTCGGCCCCGCCATCGCGCCGCGGTGTTCGTCGGCCAAAGGAGCCCCCCATTGCCCGCGCCATCGCTGTGGCAGTGCCGTCGCGCCGTAGTGAGTTGGAGGAGCGACTGCAGTACCTGCTGCAGGTAGAGGAGGAAGTGGCATCCGCCGTTGGGCCCAATGATTTGATGCAAGTGCTAGCGGAGCTGCGGCGGCGGCGCCAGGAACGCAAGGCCGTCGCCGTCACAAGACGACGCATGACAGAGGCCTCAAATGCGGTCTACCCACACGTGGCGGCGCTGGTGAAGGCGTGCGAGTCCACTACGGATGAGGCCACCATAGATATCTTGCGTGAGTTCTGTCGACGCCATTATGCACCCAGCAGTCATGAAAAGGGACGATCACTCCTGTACACGGCGCTTGCAGAGCTTTTGCTGAAGCGAAGGGCCAACGAAAGCGATACTGCGGAGGCGCTTTCTCTTTTAGACGACGCGGTGGCTGACGGCCACGCGGGGGCAATGCTTCTTGTCGGCCTCTCCCTGCGCGATGGGGTCGGGGTGCCGAAGGACTTGGAGGCGGCGCTCACGTGGGTGGAGCGGTCCGCCGATGCCGGCTACGCCCCCGCAATGTTTGAGCTCGGGGCGATGTACGAGGATGGCGTGGAGACTGCTGGCGGCGACAAGCTGCCCTCAGACTGGGGCGAGGCTGCCGAGTGGTACAAAGGGGCCGCGGACCTTGGCCACACGATGGCCCAGCTGAATCTGGGAAAGCTCCTGTGGAAGGCGGCGGCAATGGCGGGCGAGGCCAAACCTGACACGTGCGACAAACACACCGTTGCAGACCTTAAGGCCAAATCACGCGCGTGGCTTGAGATGGCGGCGTCCTCAGGAAGTGAGGAGGCCGTTCGGCTCCTTCGCTGTAGATAACACATGTGGGTGTGAAGAAATGCCCATCATCCCCACTTTCTTGCGAACCTTTTTTTTTTTTTGTTGTTACTTGTTATTTTTATTTTGGTGCCTTGCGGCTGTTATTATTCTGATCATCATTGGCGCCATTGTTCCCCCCTCCCCCCCCCTCCTACTCAAGATGTATCGTGCCCCCCCCCCACACACACACGAGCAACGCGGAGGTATTTGGAGCGTGTATGCACATGTTTGACTGAAGTTTGCAAAATTGTCCCGCCGCAACAAGACAATATGTTTCCGTTTCTTCTTGTGTGTGTGTGTGTGTGTCTGAACGGCGACTATGGTGTGGCGACTCCTTCCGGGCACGAACACCCGCCACAGCAATCGTGTCGGAGGCTCAGTTTTTTTTTTTTTTTGTCCGCCGGCGGTTGCACAGCCCTCACTCTCTGGCTCTGTGAATGTGTGTCGGCGTCTCTGTCTGCCTTCTCTCGTCATCAATTTTATTGTGCCGCCCGCTTCTTTTCTGTCTTCCCGACTGTTATATATATATATATCTGCCTCCGCGTTTGCTGTGTGTGTTCGCCAGCAACCCGTCCGCTTCCGAGGTCGTAGGCGCAAGCAAAGGGCAGCGAACAAACACACATCTGACGAATCTCAGCCACAGAGGGCGAGGAAGAGGAATAGGAAGAACGGCTGGGAAGCTTGGAGGAGCCTGCACCACGCGGAGAGAGGTGGGGGGAAGGAGGAGGGAAACGGCCACACACACACACACACACAAACGGACCATCAAACAAAGCCCGGGGCCGAATACACAGGGGAATAGCAGCCAGCAAGAAGTAGCGAAGGGGCCTGTCTCGTTGTTTTTTTGGCGTGTTCTGGCACCTATTAGTTCTTTGTTTTGCACTTCTTGCCCGGGCGGCTCTTCTTTGACTCTCCGCACTTCGACGTCTTGCTTGGGAGCTCCGCCATGATCACGAAGAACAATGTCATTCGTGAGCTGCGTCTGCTGCAGCGGCGCCATTGGTCGACGTGGCTGACGGTGTGGCCGTTTGTGGTGCTCTACGCGGTGTCCATTGCGCTCTACATGGACCCTGAACTGGTGTGGGATCGCATGACTTACCTCGTGCACTCAACTTACATTGACTTCTTCCACGCTATTTGCACCCCTGTGGTGCTTTTTCTGCATGGCTTCCTGTCCCTCTTTACTATCTGGTCGGTGCGCTTTCGCGCAGTCATTCTCTTCAGGAGTGTGTCTCGGAAACACATTTCGTCGGCCACGCACGTGCTTGTTTGCACGCGGGAGCACAAGGGGGAGTCGGAGATTGTACCACTGATTCAGTTCACCGATGACTGCCCGACCCACTTTGTGTTTCAGGAGCGGAAATGGAAGCTTGACGCCACGACGGGACTGTTTGTCAAACCAAACTTTCCGGTAAAGGATCTTATACCACGCTACCTGGATTGGCAAGGGCTGACCGGCCCCGCCATGTGTGCAAAGCAACTTGACAGTTTTGGTGCCAACAATATGGAGGTGGTGATTCCGGATTTTCAGACTCTCCTTGTCGATCATGCCTTGGCTCCGTTCTTTGTATTTCAAATGTTTTGTGTGCTGCTGTGGTGCCTGGATGAGTACTGGTACTACTCCCTCTTTACCGGGGTGATGATGGTGGGCATGGAGTGCACCGTCGTGATGCAGCGCATCCGAAACATGAAAACGCTACGCGACATGGCGGAGGTGCCTGTACGCGAAGTAACGGTGCTGAGGCAGGGGAAGGAGGAAGTTGTCAAGACAAACGAGCTGTTGCCGATGGATCTCATGGTGGTGGAGAGCAATGCTCCTTGCCCAGTGGATTCCATAATTGTGCGCGGCACATGCATCGTGAACGAGGCAACCTTGACGGGTGAGTCAACGCCACAGCTCAAGGAGGCGCCAGATCGGATTGAAATTCATCTAGATATGAAGAAGCACAGCCGCCACCTCCTTTTTTCGGGCACAGAGTTGCTTCTAAGCAATGGTCCACATGGTAAGAGCGAGACGGAGCGTGGCAGGGCCCTTGCTGTTGTGCTTAAGACTGGTTTTGAAACAAAGCAGGGAAAATTGCTGCGCACCATCCTTCACAGCCAGGGCCGCGTGAGCGAGAACAGTGGAGAATCCTTTGCTTTTATTGGAGTTCTTGTGGTGTTTGCCCTTGCGGCTGCTGGCTACCTGCTTAAGCGCGGACTGGAGGATCCAAATCGCAGCCGGTGGAAGCTGTTTTTGTCCTGCGTTCAAATTATCACGGCGGTTGTTCCCCCAGAGTTGCCGATGGAGTTGTCCCTCGCCGTTAACACGTCGCTGCTCTCGCTTGTCAAGCTGCAAGTGTTCTGCACCGAGCCCTTCCGTATTCCGTTTGCGGGCAAAGTGGACACCTGCTGCTTTGATAAGACGGGCACCCTCACCACCGACGAGATGCTCTTCGGCGGCGTGGACATGGCAGACGGGAGGGGGTTGCTGAACCAACTCAAGAAGGTGCCAAAAATGGCCGAGTTGGTGCTGGTGACCTGCCACTCGCTGCTGCAGCTGGAGGACACCGACACGGTGGCCGGAGACGCCATGGAGAAGGCCGCCCTCGGGGCGCTTGGCTACAGGGTAAACCTGGACGACACCGTCGTGTACGACCCACCAGCGCCGAAGGACGGTGACGCGGCGGGGGCCGAGGCGAAGAATGGCGGCGCCGGCGGCAAACCCACTAGGGCCAGGAAGCAGGACGGCGACGCCAACAAGCGGTACAAGATACTCTCCCGCTTTCCGTTTTCGGCGAATCTGCGTCGCATGTCTTGCGTCGTCAGCAGCCCGGAGGGGAAGTATGTGGTGGCGAAGGGCTCGCCGGAGGCGATTGCCCACTTGTGCAAGAGCGTCCCACCCGAGTACCACCAGGTGGCGGACGCCCATGCGTCGCGCGGCTACCGCGTCATCGCGCTCGCCGCTCGTCCTCTGCACGAGGAGGAGCGATCGAAGACCGCCATTCACAAACTGCAACGCGAAGACTGTGAAAAGGAGCTTGTGTTTGCCGGTTTTGCCGTGTACGAGTGCCCGTTGAAGAAGGATGCGAAGGACACGATTTTAATGTTGCAAAACGGAAGCCACCGTTGCGTTATTATCACGGGTGACAGTGTGCGCACGGCCATCTCAGTTGGACAAGATGTGGGAATTTTGCGGTCCCGCCGACAGCTCGTTGCACGCGGGGCGGAGTGCGGTGGCGGGTCCGTAGAATGGTGCGATGCCTCGACAGGGGAGTTGATCACACTTGACCAGAGCGCCATTCTCGGCAAAACGTTTGTGCACACGCGCAAGCACTCGACTCCCACGGAGGACGAGTGGGATCTGTGCGTGAATGCGGAAAATATCTCACCTCGTTGCTTGACGACACTCATTGCGGCATGCAACGAGCACATCGCCGTCTGGGCGCGCTGTGCCCCGTCGCAGAAGGAAGACATCGTGACGGACCTCAAAAAGAAGGGTCGCGTCGTTCTCATGGCAGGGGATGGCACGAACGACGTCGGGGCGCTGAAGCAGGCTCAAGCCGGCGTTGCCGTGCTGAACGCCGCTGCCGTGGCAGCGCCGAAGGTCGACGGCAAGAGCGTTGACAACTCACCCCAGTCGCACAATGAGCCGGACGTGGCGCCGGAGCTGAAGCTGCCACCGGGATTTAAATTTACGGTGTTGCCCCCGAAACCGAGCGAAAGTGCCCCGCTTATGGTACAGTTGCGGTGGAAGATGACAGAGGCTCGTCGCAAGGCGGAGATCATGCAAATTGAGAAGTGGAATAAGCGGATAGAGGAAATGAAGCAGAAAAAAATTGCCGATAAGGCCGCCATGCCGCCCCCACCAGGCGGCGCTTCCTCGGACTTTCTCCTGCAGTCGCTCTTTAACGAGGATGAACTAGACTTGGGCGGACCTCCACAAATTAAGCTTGGTGACGCCTCCATAGCGGCTCCATTCACCTGTCGCTCGAAGGCGCTCATGTCGGTTTGTGACATTGTGCGTCTTGGTCGAAGTACACTCGTAACGACGTTGCAAATGTACAAGATTCTCGCCCTGAACTGCCTAACTTCGGCTTATTCCATGTCCGTTTTACATACGGATGGCGTCAAGCTGGGTGAAAAGCAGATGATCCTATCCGGTGTCATCTTGTCCGTCTGCTTCCTGTGCATGTCACGCAGTCAGCCAATGCACACGTTGTGCCCACAACGGCCGATTACCCGCGTATTTCATCCGTACATGATCTGCACTATTTTTATGCAGTTTGGCTTGCATCTGTATAGCATGATGCAAACCGTGAAACTTGTGGAGGAGGTGGATAGCACGGAGGTGGCAAATATGAGGCAGAGCGGCTATGAGGGGGAGTTTAAGCCAACCCTGTTGAATTCGGCGATGTTTTTACTAACCACGCTCATTGGTGGTGTAACATTTGCGGTCAACTACCGCGGAGAGCCGTTTATGCAGAACATGCGAAGGAACAAACCCCTCTTCTACGCACTGATCTTTCTATCTTTGGTCGTTATTTACTTTGCGTCCGAGGCGGATCCCGAGGGCAACACCATGTTTGAGATTGTCTCCTTTCCGTCGAAGGAGTTCCGCGACAGGTTCATAAAACTGCTCCTGACAGACGCTGGCGGCTGCTTCCTCATTGAGTACGCCTGCCTCTTCTTCCTGACGGACTACCTGTGAGCCCGAAGGCTTCGACGTGGAGGAGCGAAGGGCAACGCGACAAACACAACACACACACACACACACACACAAATGGAGGGCGGCGACATGTGCAGTCGAGGCGTTCCCCGCAACGACATCTGTGTGCCGCACCGGCCACCGACACGACGCCCCGCGAGGGGGTGGGGTTGGGAGGCAAAAGGAATAGATTGCGAGAAGAGGAGGAGGAAGAAGGCTGGGAGGGGGCGGTAGGCGCCCCAACGACGCGCGAGGCCCAAGGCGTCTGAGAAAGCAGAAATTGAACGCACGTAACTAACTGTAAAATAAAAATAAACGCGGTCAAACAAAAAAAACAAAAGGGAGTGAAGATGAAAATGGCCTGAGTAGTGGTGGGTTGGTTACTTTGCCGCTCATTGCTGCATTTCAACTTCACGCTCCTGTTCTTCTCTTCCACCCTCTTTCTCTTTCTCTCTCCTTTTGTTTTCCCCCGCAGGTGCGGGTGGCGTTGCCACGGGCTGGCTCCAACAGTGTTGATGCCCCAAAGGCGGGGGAAT